GCCCCTGGGCCTCTCCTCCTTGGTCTTCTAGGGACAGAAGACGAGCCTGCTGGTCCTGGAGGGGATGGGCTTCCGCGTGGGCCAAGCCCTGGGGGAGAGGTGAGCATCGGCCCCTCCTGTGTCCCCCCCTCCCCAGCCGGACCCGAGGCGGCGGGTTGCCTTGCTCCCCACAGGAACCCAGCCCCACACACGCCCTGGGCCCCCAACCCTGGCCCCGCCCGACTCGGTGTCTGCCGCTGCCCCTCAGGCTGCCCCGGGAGATGCTGGCCTTCAGGGAGGAGCTGGACGTCCTCAAGTTCCTGTGCAAAGACCTGTGGGGGGCCGTGTTCCAAAAGCAGATGGACAGCCTCCGCACCAATCACCAGGTGAGCGCCCGCCCAGCGCCCGGCTTCCTGGCTGCAGCTCCTAAAGGGGACCCTGTGCCAAGGAGGCAGGGACAGGGCTCAGCCCTGGGCAGCCCCACCCTCTTTCGGAGGCTGCAATGGGGCGCGGAAGCTCTTGCCAGTTTCCATGCGCCTCCAGGATGGGGCCTGGAGCTGGGAGTCTTGCCTCACATGACACTGCCTGTCTTAACCTGGTCCGAGCTCCCCTTAGTCGTCCACCCTGCTGGCCACTTCTCAGGCCGGGTCTGTAGCTTCTCACCACAACCGGAGAAGTCACACGGCCAGAGGGGCAGGGCCAGCACACCTGGGTGACCGGGCCCCGGAAGCCTGTGGCTCTTCTGCAGTCTGAAGGATGGGCCATGACTACCGTGTTGTTTTGTTTTCAGTCTCACCGAGGATATTTTCACTGATATTTAGAGAGAGGGGAAGGGAGAGAGAGAGAGAGAAACATCAATCAGTTGCCTCCCACATGGGCCCCGATCACCTCGGGGCTGGGGTTTAGGTATGTGCCCTGAATTGACCTTTCGGTGCAGGGGACGATGCTCAACCAGTGAGCCACACTGGCCAGGGCTACAGTGGTTTTGAGGAGAGCATCCTCCAGAGCCCTGGCTTCCCCTCCCCCCACGCAAATGCACAGGCACCGCCTGAGCCCACAGCCTCTCCTCTGTCCTCAGGGCACCTACGTCCTACAGGACAGCAGCTTCCCCCTGCTCGTCCGGATGGGCTCAGGCCTGCAGTATCTGGAGGAAGCACCCAAGGTAGGGGGGTGCTGGGACACACCCCCAGTTCACTTCTCCTACCTACCCATCCCCCACCCCCACCCCAAGGTAGGCCTCTCCCCAGGCCAAGGGGTTGACCCCACTGTGAAGCCCAAAGCCCGTCCCTGCCCTGGCCCTGGGTGTAGGCCTCCCCTTTTCCCACAGTGACCTGTGCCCCCCGCCCCCAGTTCCTGGCCTTCACCTGCGGCCTGCTGCGCGGCACCCTCAGCACCCTGGGCATCAAGAGCCTGGTCACCGCCTCCGTGGCAGCCCTGCCAGCCTGTGAGTCGTGGGAGTGGGGGGACCCCTGCCATCTCTGAGTGTGGCAGGGGCTCCGAGCTCCCCTGTCCCTACTCCTATAGGCCAGGCCGCTGAGCACAGTGTTTAGGTGGGAAATTTGAGACGCCAAGAGCTGAAGTCACATGCCAGGCACCCACACAGTGGGTGTGGTCCATCCATGCCCCTGGCCCCTGAGGTACCCCAGCCTGCCTCCTGGTACTTGCCAGACCAGAGAGAGAACCCCCCCAGAATGGCCTGGTCTGGTCTCAGATGTTCTTCCCGGCGTGGAAACCCGCGTAGACATAGAAGTCATCCAGATGGGGCTCCAGAGGCAGCATGGGACCTGCAGCCTGCGTGACGGCGTTCTGACCCCCCCGGAGCCCCTCCTGCTGGGGCAGCGGCACCCATCCTCCACCCTCCCTCCCCAAGGTGTTTTTCCTCTGCCGGGCTCCCGGGCCCATCCATGGTTAGGGCCTGGGCAATACATGCCATAAAAGCCTGTGCCAGGCCCTTCCCTACATGCTTGACCTTCATGCCTCAGTCACACTTCGCCCTGGGATGCAGGCCAGGCGGGTGGGAGTGTCGCCCACTTTGCACAGTGAGGCCACGCACTGTTGGTGCAGGGCCTGCGCGGTTCGGATGCTTCCCGCCTCCCCTCAGGTCCCTGCCTCAGGCTAAAGCCAGCCCTTCTCTTCCAGGTAAGTTCCAGGTGGTGATCCAGAGACCCTGAGCCCTGGCCCCACTGAGTCCCACAGCCGCCCCTGCCCCGGGACCCCAGGCCGCTGCTGGGGAATCTCGGACTCGGGGGGTGATGAGCACGGCAGGGGATCCAGCCACTTCAGGGCATCACACGTGCTCAAGAAGTGGATGTCATAGGGAAGTGGATGTCATAGGAGGTGGGGGCAGCCCGGGGCAGGGTGGTCCCAGCCACCATTGGGCCTGGTGTGGCGAGATCCCATTGGACACATCACTCACTCTGCAGATGCTCAATAAAGGTTCCAGGTGTGGAGACAAGTTTGAGTGGACGACGGGGGTCACTCTCTGAGCTCTAGGGGGATGGGGTTGTCTGTAAAGTGACTGTGTCATAGGACCTGTGGCAGGAGGGGGGCAGAGCACCCTGTGTTGGCTCCCTGCCCCTCATCACCTCCCTTTCTGGGGCCCCATTCTCCCCCAGGCCTGAGTCCTGGAGCTTGCGCAGCTGTTATGGGAGGGTGGCCCTGGCCATGGCAACCCCACCAGCATCCACACGTGTGGGGCTTCCCTTTGCCCAGTGGGGCCCACAGCATGGACCTCTCCCTGCGGAGTGGTGCCAGGGGTGCAGGTGGCCGAGAGTGGGAATGGATGCAAGTGGGGAGCGGGCCAGACACCTGATTCCCCCGACACACACAGACACACGCACACACACACGCACACTGTACACACTTCACATGCCTGGCAGACACGAGTCATACCCAGGACAGTGGCCTCTGCCCCGTCCTCCCCCACTTACCTCCATAACATGGGCAGCATCATGTGCCTGGAACACTCGGGCTCTGCCACCTGCTGCCCAATGTGGGCAAGTCCCTCCACCTCAGAGCTGCCAACCACAGCCGGGTGAGACCCAGATGGGTTTAAAACAAGGCCCTGCGCCCTGTAGAGTTCAGTACAGGCCCTGGGCCCTGCCCCCCCCATCCCCCCAGGCCACACGCTGAGGGGAGTGCTGCATTCCCTGGCCTGCCTCTGCCTTTGCACATGCCATTCCCTTCCCGGGCTGCCCAGCCCTCTGCCACCTCCAAACTCCTATTCCCTCGTGGGTGTCCAGTAGCCACTCAGCCTCTTGGAGCTGCCACCCACCGCCCTTCCTGGTGGAATCCTGGGTGTTTACTTATTCCCTGATCCCTCTGCCTGTGGCGGCCCTGCCCAGCATAGAGCCGGACAGATGCTCCTGGGTGAATCACAATTACTCAGCTAAACCTTGTGTGCGGGCCGCCAGCTCCTCTGAGAAGCTCAGGGGCCCACCCTGGAGGCTCCCCCACAGACTCACCCCCTATCGGGACCGAGTCCAGACTTGGAGGACGGGGAGCCCGCCCTGGAGAAGCGACTTGAAGGCCTGGGGGAGGAGGGGCAGCAGGGCACAGGCGTCCTCTATCCCAAGCCCCTCTGTCCTGGGTACTGTTTGTGGTTGCCTCATCGGCTCACCCATCTCCCCGGGCAGCCACTGGTGGTGTAGGGAGCAGGACCCTGGAGAGCAGAGGGGCACCCATGGTATCAGGCTCCTCTTGTCCGGCCCCGGCCCCGGCCCCGCCCTCACCTCTGCAACCCTGTCTTAAAGGGACCCCACCTATCAGGAGGCAGATCCTGAACACAAACCACTGCTCCCTCATCAGGTCTGGGGCCCGATGAGGGAGAACGGGGCTAGTGTGCGAGAGGCATGTCCGCCATGTGAGGCCCCGGTGGCTGCACAGCGTGTGTCGTCATTACATGAGAGGCATTCACAGCAGCCTGGTAAATGGGTCAGTATGTCCCCGCATGTTAGCTGCTGTCATTGCTACATCCCACGCTCTGCTCAGTGGACTCCCTGACAACCACAAGAAGTGGGCACGGACACTGGCCCACTCAGCAATGAGGAAGCCCAGGCTCAGAGAGGTGAAGTCACCTGCCCGAGATCACACAGCTGGGCCCTGGAGGACCTGGCATCTGGACCCGGGATTGCGTCCTGGCCTGGGCTCAGTCCCTGCCCCAGCCTTCCCTCTCACAGCAGAAGTGCCGGGAGCCTGGCCGCCATAGGCCCTTTGGCAGGTCCCACCCGGGCAGCACGGAGACCAGTCACCTCCATCCGTGAGCTCAGGTACTGTGCAGGGGCAGGCCCCCCGGGCCTGGAGAGCAGAGGGCCCCTGGCAAGCTGAGGGAAAGGGGAGGGGACTGGGCAGGCAAACCGGTCCGGTCCGTCAGGCAGCTCAGCTCCTGGCTCCCGGGCCTCTCACCAGTTGGGCCTGCCCTGGCGGCGGCGGGGGAGCTGAGGCCTCAAGACCCAGGCAGCAATCAGGTACGGAGACCCCAAGCTGGGGGGTAGTGGGCAGGGGCCACATGCCTGGCCCCCAACCCTCACTGAGCCCCAACTCTCACCACTCCTGTTTCTCACCACTTCACCCGCCCTGCCACCCTCTCCCCCCAACAGTATCCCTCCCTCCCTTCTGTTTTCGGTGCCTCACATTTTAAACCCAGGGCACCCAGCTCACCCCGAGCTTGCTGAGCCTCTCTCTAAACGGAACCCCCTGCTTTCTGCTCTCCCAGAACTGTCCCCTCCAGCTGCCCATTCAGTCTCCACATGGACCCAGCCCTGAGACTCGGCCATTGGATGCTCCCTGCCCCCAGCCCTCAGCACACTGGGTCCCCTGTGGCCTTCAAACAGCGCCAGCCTGGCTTCCCACAGCGCGTGCCCACCGTGCCCAGTGCCACCCACCAGCTCCCGCTTCCCCAGCCCACCTCTGCTCAGCGCCCCGGCCTCCTGAAAACTCCCATGGGTGCCAAACACCCAACCAGTGAACCCTTAAAAATCTCACCCACCCCATATTAGCCCCAGGTCCCCTCAACCCCGACCTCCCTCCTGGACCTGGCCTCTCTCTCCCTGAAGAGCACCCCTGCCCCACCTGGACCTGGGAGCCAACACCGGGCTGGGGTCTCTCCTGTCCAGGTCTCGTGGCTTCCTGGACGTGGGCTCCTGCTGCTGGTGCCAGGGGCTGGACAGCCGGCCGCCATGCACCAGCACTACACCGTCCACTTCACCAAGGGCACCCTGCCCCCCCGGAGCCCTACCGAGAGCTACTTCTTGGACCCAGAGTTGGGGCACCAAAAAGGTAGGGGTACAGTTTGGGGGGGGTCCTGGCAGGGAGACGTGTGAGTGGGGGGCTGCCAAGAGGATGGTGGGGCAGAAGCTCAGGCCCCAGAAGGGAAGTCACCACACTCCCCGGAGATGGGGCCACGGGGGGGGGGGGGGCCCA